TTCATATTTTAACATCAAAGAGTAAGGAAGAAATCAAGAACAAAACGCAATGATTAGAAAATTTTAGCACAAATACAGGACGATTTGGGCTACATTTTGGTCTGATTTGATGTTAACTTGTCATGAAAACTCATGAAAATAGACGACAAATAAGATATTAGGCTGCAAACAACTATTCAAAAGATCCATAAACCTAATGAATTTTATATAAATCGACGTCCCGCAGCTTGTTTTTTCTAACGGTGGAAACCTGACCTCTATTGCTTGAACCGTTGAAAAGTTTTTCAAAAACTAGTCGTTAATACTTTAAAAAAAATGTGGCATTAGTTCCAAAGAAAAATAAATCTGCGTACGAAATTATATTAAACTTTTTCATCATTTAATACAAAAGATTGATGAGCAAATATTGTCTACACTGGAAAACCATTGGGAAGCTTCATTCAAAATTTCATTAATGTTTTTGCTTTAAATCTGATCAGTTTTCTGACAAGTGCGAAAGATTATAAAAGAAAGAAGTCACAAAATAACTGTAATATGGATTATTGACACGATCCTGAGTGAACGAAAGTGACAAAGAAACGATCTGTCTTAAATTTTTGTTGTGTTACTTTTGATGCTTTATCTTTCAATTCTTTTATTGTCATATTTTCTTAAGTATTTAAACAAATGCTCAGAACAAAGTAAATTTATTCCTATTTTCATTATCATATCTTAACTTGATCGATTTTTCAAAGATTGTGGCTCAGCTTCAATTACAATGATCGACTTTTCGTCCTCTTTGATCATTTTTCTTTTCTATTGACTAGTCAGGATAAGATCAACATACAAAATGGACTAGATATAGCGGCGTTTAAGCTAACTAATCTTGCCGGAATATATAATCATTTCAGACTAGTCCGGTCCCTCGCTCGTCGACGCTTATTGCTTGCTGAAGTTCATATATAGCTCTTGTCATGGTTTGTTATTGGATTATGTGTTATTTATAGAGTCGACTCATACACTGACTAACAGCAGATAAAATTTAACCTAACTATTGTTATATTGAAGAAAAGCTATTCAATTTAATCTCTTCTTCTTCTTCCTTTCAATTACTTCATACGCAAGATTGTCTTCTGCCACATTACACACAACTGTAGGTAAAGAAAAAAGTATAATGAATTTAGAATTACTATCTAACGAAATCTTTCTTGATCTATTCGATTATTTCAATGGTATTAATCTTCTTCATGCATTCTATGGACTCAATTCACGCTTCAATCTTCTGCTCTACAAATAATATCGATCGTATCGTTTCGAATTCAATTCTATGTTAAACTGTGATTTCGATACAATATGTAAACAACATTTACCATTCATTACTGATGCAGTTATTACTCTTCGTCTATCTAATCTCATAGAAACTAAAGAACAAATCGATCTATTTCTTTCTTACATACCATCACTCAATCGATTCACTCATTTAAAATCACTCATACTATGCAAGCTTGGCTCAGTTCAGGCATGGTTAAAACTCATACATCAATTTCATCATCTCAATAGTCTTACTTATTTAACATTTTCCTTTTGTTCTTTTCCAAATGGTAAAGCTAATTTTCAACTAATCGTCAACAAAATTTGAAGTTTGCCGAATCTTATTTATTGCTATTGTGACATTAACATCGAAAAACGAGAGATTTTTTGTTCTGCCATTAATTATCTCCGCATCTCTTGAATATTTAACTATATCTGATAGTAAATTTCGATGGAATCAGTTAAATCGATTATTTCATTACACTCCTCGCCTTAAATATCTTTCAACAGCTTTCGAACCCTCTGTCAATAATGATTATATAGCATCTCCACTTTCAACAATAACTAAACTTAAGTTGTGTCTCCATAAGATACCTTCGGAACTCAATGCTTTGTTGCAAAACGTACCTAATTTAAGTCATTTGAAAATTGAAATATGGTTGGAACTAATTAATGGTCATCAATGGGAACAAATCATTCGTAATTACTTGCCTAAATTGAAAACATTTCGACTTAAAATGATCCAACTCTTTTCGAATCAAAATGTCAAAGAACAAGCCGATAGATTGATCGATTCGTTTCGAAATTCATTTTGGGTTGATGAACATCAATGGTTTGTTCGATGTCATACAAGGAATTATTTTATTCATCTCGAAACTTTACCAAGTTCATCTTGTGACTGGAATATAACGCTTTCTGATTTTTTGCACTCGACAATTCCACAAGATTATCAATAAAAATGTTATCATAATATGACGTGCATTTTCGATGAAAAATTTTTTGACCAACCGATACCATCTTACATCCATATGCCTAATATTGAATATCTTCATATAAAAGTTCCTATCAATGATCAATTTTGGTCTATTGTTCCAAGGTTAAATCGACTACGCTCACTTATAGTTTCATCTCATGGTGATACTTTTCATTCTCAGGTACAAACTTTATTAGATCGAGCACCTCATCTACACGCACTAACTATCAATCAAGATAAATCATTACCTTTAGAAATGTCATTATTCAAATACTCAAATGCTTCAGTTCATGAACTCTCTTTAGATAAATGTCAACATTATTTCAATGAAGAGGAATGTAATTTGTTGAGTCGTTCATCATTAGGTGTTCAATGTGAAGTACTTTTTATTCGAGTTGATAATCGTGAATGTATTATTAATCTTGTCAAAAATATGGTTAGTCTTCGAATATTAATTATCGTCTGGAACGATGAAAAAAATTCCAAAGACTTAAGACTAACAAATATTAACGATGAATACCGTAATAGAAAAACACAAATTTCAAATCAACTTGTTCAATGGTTAAAAGATCATTTGCCATGGACGTATGTAGTCGTTAGTTATTCACAATATAAACATATCTCAATACGAATTGAACAGAGAAAAGAAAGATAAATATTGACATCAATTCAAATCATATTAAGACATTATTTAGATCGATTGTTCAATGATAATCATATTCTTTATCTTTCACTTGATTCTGATTAATAAAAATAAAATGACACTATGTAAAAAAATTTATTATGCAAATAATATCTAAAGTCTTGGTCCAAAAATCTTTTTTTGTTTCTTTCATTTTCCTATATTAAAATAACATATGTTTAGTTGCAATAGCTTCTAACATTTGTAGTATTTTTCTATGAATCAGAAAAAATAAATATCTAAAATACTGAAGAGAAATAGAAGTGTAAATTGATCAGAATAAATGGGCTATCTTCGCTATAATTCTTGATAATGTTGTTCAATTTGTGTTTCATCAATTTATGATATTTACATAAACAGGGTGGGGTGTGGGTGTGGGTGTCAGTGTCAGTGTCGGTGTAGGGGGAAAACAAAACACCCACCCACATCCACACACACCACACTCACACCCACACCCGCTCACGTCCACACACCCACACCCTTCAATGCACACATCTACGTTAAAATTATAAATATAATAAACTCATTCATGCGATAAATATGATAAATGTTTGTAAGACCATGATACATAGAGTATGATGGTCTATCAAATATTGACCATATTTAGTACGGTGAGTGTGAATGGGTTAATATTCTCTCGTCTACTGATGATGAAATTACGAAAAACAACGATGTCACGCGCTCCTATCGTGTTCTATGTTTTTTCTTTCCTTTATTGGTCGAGTAATACTTTTCTTATGCAATGTTGTAATTTCATAAGAATGAAGAAAGACAAGGTGTTTCATTTTATTCAGAAAAGTTTTGTAGGTGATATAAAAACATTAATGGCAAATTTGGAAAAACAAGCTGATGAAATCTTAGCATTACAATCAATATTTGATACAAAATTTCGTCTCCTTCATGACAACAATCGATATGAAATTTTAATTGATTTTGATCTCATTCAACCATTTGTTCTTCGATGCAATGATAAGACATCTATTATTCATCATTTGCCACCATTTTCTCTGATTATTCATTATCATGATGAATACCCAAGTGATCATCCTCCTTCGTTTATTCTTTCTTGTTTTTATTTTTCGAAAATATCTTTACAAAACCTTTGTCAAAAACTTGATAAATATTCATTTGTAAAAGGTGAAGTTTGTGTTTATGATTGGATCGAATTGATTAAACAGGAAACTACAAATGAACTAACACTTGACACCAAAGTCGAAGAACAAATCAATGATCCACGAGCATTAAATGGTTATTTACCTGAGAACATTGACCAAATTTATCAATATTTAATTAATTATAATACTGAACACGAAGAAAAACAATTTGAAAATCACTTTCAAACCTGTTTAATATGTTCAGATATTATTCGAGGAAGTGATTGTATTCGTCTTCATCGTTGTAGACATTTTTATTGTCGATCATGTTTAAATAATTATGTTCAAATGACATTAAACAATGGTCGATTTGGTGAAAAACTTCTTTGTCCACAAAATCAATGTCAAAAAGCCTTACTTCCCAATGAAATCAAACAAATTATTCAAGACGATCAATTATATCAAAGATATGAAAGATTAACATTACAACATGCTTTAGAATTAATGAATGATATCATTTGGTGTCCAAGGTTAGTGTGTTCAAACAGAAAAGATAAATAATAATTTTATTTAGATGTCAATCTCCTGTTCTTATTGGTAATGGGGAGGATAATCTAGCAATATGTGATCAATGTCATTATACATTTTGTAAAAAATGTAGAGAAATATTTCATTTCCAAACAACTTGTCCAAAAGATTATCTAATTAAACAAATGAGATTACAACAAGAAAAACAATTTGAAAGAATTAGAAAACAACAAGAAGAAGAACGTGAACGAATACAAAAAGAAAAAAATCGAAAGCGATTAACCAAAGAACAAGAAAGAGCTCAGACAGAACGGGATAGAATCGAAAAACAACAGAAAACTGCAGCTGAAAGAGAACTTCTTAAACAACAATATCGTGAAGTTACTATTGATTTATCGGAAGAAGATACTTTATTAGAAAATATCTTAAATGCTGAACGAATGGAAGCATTGAATACTCAATCATGTCCAAATTGTCATGTCAAAATTGAAAAAAATGGTGGTTGTTCACATATGCGTTGTTCAAGATGTGATTACAATTTTACTTGGTCTACATCGGAAGGACCTCAAGATCCTAAGATAACCTCATTGCTATATCATTCTTCTACAGCTCAATCAATTGAATCTATTAGAGAAGAATTAAATAAGAAATTAGATACAGGTTTGAAATAGATTATTTCAAAATCCAACGAAATTTTGATTTTCTTTTAGCAAAAATATCTGAAGAAGATGAAAAAGTTGTCATTAATAATCGATCATTTATTGGTTCTGCTATCGTCAAACGAGTCAAACCATGTCCAAATTCTTCATGTCAGAAACTCAATATTAAAATGGGCGATGATAATTTGATTATATGTAACGATTGTTTCGAACAATATTGTTTTTCATGCGCGAAACCCATTAACGGATTACAACATTTTCAAAAAAAATGTGATCGTTATACATCAGTTTAATTCATCAGAAAATTACTTTCATACACATATACATCATATGCTCGCGCGCACATAGACATCTTTATTGCAATATATCCAAGAATTCATCGGCCCATCCATAGATGTGTCGTCTCTACGTCGATCGCCCGCGCCTTCCTATCACAATGAGGGGCTGCAGAATACCTAACAAGCAGAATTCAGAATTTAAAATTCCAATCGGTAAACCATGGATTTCCTATGAATACAAACTTTCAATAAGCATACCACGAATGTATATATCCGCCAGCCATGAAAATCTAGTAAAGAATTTAAAGATGCAAGCAGAATTAAAACAGAATTCGGCTACAAGTAGCAGAATTCAAACTTTCAATAGTCATACTAGGAGTCAATATATTTTCCAGGAATAAACTTCTCGTGAAGAATACAAAAATACAAGCAGAATTTAAACAGGATTCTGTTACTTGTAACAGAATACAAAATTTTAAAAGGTATAGGAAGAATGCATATGTCGACGAAGAATAAACCTCTAGTGATGAGTGTAAAAATAGAAGCAGAATTTAAATAGAATTCTGTTACAAGTAACAAAATATAAACACTCAATAGGCATATCAGGAGTGTATATATCCATCAGCAATAAACTTCTAGTGAAGAATTTACAGAGAATTCTGCTACCAGTAAGAGAATACAAACTTTCAATAATCATACGAGGAGTGAACATATTCACGAGGAAACTTAAACAGAATTCTAATACCACTAACAGAATACAAACATCCAAGAGGGCATACTATAAGGTCCTATATCGACTAATAAAAAGTTCTACTAAACAATTTTAAAATTAGCAGTAGAACTCAAAATAGAATTTTTTTACGCCTAACAGAATGCAAACTTTGAATGATCGAACTAGAATCGTATACATTCAAGATAGAAGAAATTCTGCTAAAGAATTTAAAAATACCAGCAAAATTTAAACAGAATTCTGGTATCATAAGCAGAATACAAACTTTCAATAAGCATACCAGAGGCTACACATCGATCAAAAAAAGAATTTCTAGTAAAGAATTAAAAAAATCCTAGCAGAATGCAAAACAGAATTCTAATATCGGTTAAAAATAGATCAATTCACTAAGATAAATTCCCAATAGGAATTAAACTACTAAGTACCACACTAACCTGTCAGGAAGTATTCTACAGAATTCTGACTACACTAGAAATAGACCAGAATGGAATATATAGTGTTTGATAACATAAAAATGTATAAAATTCTGTAGAACTCTAAGCAAAATTGAAATGGATCAGAATGGGATATGTTGTCTTCGATGACACAATTCTACAGAATTCTAAGCAGAATGCTATTACCAAAAAAGAATATAAAATTTGAATAGCCATACTATATTGTTATATGTCCAAGGGAAAAATAGAATTTTGATGAAGATTTTAAAAACATCGGCAGAATTTTAAAACAGAATTCTGTTATCACTAACAGAATATCGATTTTCAATAGCTATACTTGAATTCAATGGCATATCTGGAATAGAAAAAAAAATTCTTCTGAAGATTTTTAAAATATTGGGAGAATTTGAAACAGAATGCTGTTACAACTATCGGCATATAAGCTTTCAATAGGTATACTAGAATGGTATACCTCAAGTAGAAGAGAAAAACTCTTATGAAGCATTTAAAAATATCAGAAGAATTTAAAGCAGAGCTGTCGTACCACTCAGATCATATAATCTTTCAATAGACATACAAGAATGGTATAGCTCGTAGAGAGAGGAAAAATTCTAATGAAGAATTTAAAAACATAAGGAAAATGTAAAACACAATTCTGGTACTAGTAACAGAATATAAACTTGCAGTATGAATACTAGAATTCTAAATCTTCTAGTGAGGAAAGAACATTGTTTTTCATAGCATAGAGTTCTACAGAATTGTCAGCAGAAATTAAACAGATCAGAAAAGAATATTCTAATCAAATCGTTAAAAAAATATATAAGTCCACAAAATTCTGAATTCTGCTTGGTAGGCATTCTGCAATTGCTGTACAGATAAACTATTATCTGATCAAGCTAAAGAGAGACTTATGAAAGAAACAAATGGAAAAGTTATATTACATAAAAGTGAACGCCTTCAGAAATGTTGCTCTATTTCATAAATTCATTTATTTGTTTCAAAAGAAACTAACGTGCCCGTTTTTGTTTTCTTTTTTTTTGAATGCTTTGTAAAAAGTTCAGAATCAAGGAACTTTTTTGCTTTCTCTTCTTCAATAAACAAGTAACGTTCATCAGGTGCCGATTAGAGGCGGTGCCAGGATTTCGGCCAGAGTGAGCTCAGCCCGCTAAACTTTCAAAAAGCCAAAAGGTGTAGTGTACAAAACCAGTACAATAGGTTCCAACAATGATCAGTAATAGCAACATGTTCTTTTCAGCAAAATACAGGTACTCAATGCTGTATTGCACAGCATAAAAATCAGCATTATTTGGATAAATTCTCGAACAGGCGCCCAGACCCACGTGATAGATTTTTTCTATTACTAATGAACAGTAAACTGTCCGGCGAGCAACTGCCCGAATCCCGTCCTGCGAGCACCTGTCTTAGACCCCTTTCATTCTTTCAAATGTTTCTTTTACAAACTCGAGGGTGTGGGTGTGGGTGTGTGTACTCATTTCAACTATACCCACACCCACCCACATCCCACACCCACACCCACCACCCACACTCACCCACACCCAATTTTTTAAATTAACTAGACTTGCAAGTAATCTTAGAGAATTTCCTAAAATGAAATTCGTAAAGATTGTTATACAACGGCACGTAAGACATTGGATTGATCTAGACAAAGTATTACTTGGTCAAAAGGAAATTCTGATTTATCGATTATTTCATTTGAAGAATATCAAGAATTATCAAAAAAAAATGATAGTCGTGTACTTGTTTTAGTTGCTGAGTTTTATTCATGATGTTAGTAATTTTATTGATTCACATTCGAGTGGTCGAGCTATTATTAAAGGTTATGTTAGCAAGGATGCTATCGTGACGTTTTATGGTAGTGTACATGATCATAATGCGGCAGCACACAATATGCTTGCTATGATGCGAGTTGTTGTTTGTAAATATGGTGGTGAAGTAGAACATATTAAGAAAAGATTAGGACACGTTCAAACTCCAATTCCTATTTTTGCCTAAGTTTCCCTTATTTTTTTTGCTGTTAAGTCATAAAGCTTTTTGAATTTCTATGATAAAGATCTTGATCCAAAAATAATTAAAAACAAAAAGTGTGACCATAAATTTATTCTTGTAAGAATAACTGTATGTGAAACATTATTTTTAAAAAAATTAAAAACGTGTAAGAGTTGTATTCCCGACGTTAACATTGTTATTATTAGCATCACTATCGTTTCGAATATCAACATGAACGAATAGAGTTGAATGAGTTTCATCGTTATTATTAGCTCTTAAATAAATATGACGATAACCTAGATAAAAGAAAAGTAAATAAATCATGAAAAATGGAATAGTGTTATCATTTGTTTTTATATTTCTAATTTTATAGGATATTTTAATATTTGAAGAAACAAAAATACTACATACAAACGGAATTGTTTGCAAGATTAACTAGAACAAGATTCGTTGCCTTGTTTCTTCCTGTAGCGAAACATATGTATGATTCTCTCATAAACTGAATTCTGGGTAAATTCATCGGTATTCAATAGAGTTCGTCGAGTCCAGAACTGATTCAATGAGCCATACTCCAACAATAGGATGAAGAAGAATGTCCTTGTCTTTTGGAATAGAGTGGTGCCTAGTGGCAGATTTTATAGTCCGATTTTTCTCTATACTAGTATTAGCTGTAGCTCTGGGTTGTAGACTGGCCTAGTGCGGAACTCTCAGACTCAATTGTTTGAGTTCCTATATACATACGAATTAACCACACGAGTAGGTGTATGTCACAAGGTCGTCAGCATTCTATCGGACGAGTGATCCGAAACTACCAAGATTTGCACACAGTGCGTCAACGATGCATTGTTTTATGAAGATTTTATCTTCAGCAAAGGTGATTTAAAAACTTCGAGAGAACGAAGACCTATTGTTGGAAACACAAACGCATAGCACATGATTCAATAACTACAAACTCTGGAAGAATCGACCTGATCTTCGAAGGAGTACTTAGGGCGTACAAAAAGTTCGTATCCCGCCATTTAAAAGACCTTGTCAAATTGGATGAACCGATTCAGAAATAAGAAACAAACATGTCATCTTGTAGAGCTTTTCGAGCTGCATCGAATGGTATATAGTAAATCCTGTTTTCATAGAACTTTGAAGAACCTAGAGTCAATTTGCTGATAGATGGCTACACATTCACATCCATAAGTTAATGATTATTGTGGTTCTTGTTATTAATTGAAAGCATTTGTAAAATATTGTTTCTTGCATGCGACTTTGTAGAGATTTTGACGGGCTACAACCTCATATACGTACCATCTCCGGTCATCTTGTGAATGTAGACGTGAGTGTGAATGTGTAGTCGTCCATCAGTAAACTGACTCTAGGTCTTTCAAAGTTCTATGAAAACAGCATTTACTATATACCATTCGATGCGGCTCGAAAAGCTCTACAAGATGATATATTTGTTTCTTATTTCTGAATCGGCTCACCCCATCCGACGAGGCCCTTTAAATAGCGGGATACGAACTTTTTGTACGCCCTAAGTACCATCTCTTTGGTTCCTACGCGAGATAAAATACTACAGCTATGATGGTTCTCCAAAAAGTAACCGCTGACTATGACCTGATTATTGTATGATCATAGTCAGGATTGTCTGAAACATGTGTGGAGATTGTTAGTAGCAGAATTCTGTGAGAATATTAGGTTAAAAACCTTTGGAATGAATCCTTTTTGATAGTTCTTTTTCTATTAGCTATGTAGAAGTTGATCAGAAATCAGCATTTTGATTGAACAAGTTTATTAACTTTTGCCTGAAATGATGAACATTCAGAATTGTTTCTAGGAATGTCTAATTAAAATTTCATCAACAATTTCAAGCTTTTGAGCTCATATTTTGCCCACAAATAGAAAACATCCAATTTAGTACAAACTTGAAAGGATTCTTCTTTAGTGTAATCGCGCCAAAAACGTTTGAAAACACAATATTTTTATAAGATCAAAAAAAAAGGAAAACCTTTATGTTGCCAAATATTCATATTTCAATTAAATTTAAAAACAAGAAGTCCTTAGAATTTTTTACTAGAGTATATGTTCTTTATTTATGGGTAAAATACGAATCCAAAAGCTTGAAATCGTTGATGGCACATGCATTAGCTGTTCCTAAAAAATGCTGCGAATCTTCGCTATACTAGGCAAAAATCGGCCAAGTTTTCTACCAAAACTGTTTTCTAACTACTTCCTATCTAACTAGCACGATTAGTGCCAACAAAAATAAAAAAAAAACAATTTTTCAGAAAAGCACTTAGATACGTATTAATGTATTCTTTTGCAAAGTAGAAAATTTGTCGACTATCTCTTACCTTCTTGTATCATTGTTACTGGTGCACTGAAATAAGCAATTCTGTCGTCATTCGATACTGTATCATGATCAAGAACAGAAAAATACATGAGACACATTTGAGGAAATCTTATACGAAATTCAAATGTTTCATTCCACATTGGATCAAAACCATTATTATCAACAACTTGCGTTTTTTGTGTTTGTTGATCACAAGGTAAACCATGTGTTGATATTCTTACATATGGATCAGGTATATCTTTTGCTCTGACACTTGATCGAGGTAAAAATTGTCCACTTATTATTGTTATTGTTAAAATTTGTGGATGATCAAAATTAATTGGACTATTCCATGGATTAAATTTTGTTTTGTGTGCCTTGATTAAATAATCTGGTTTAAGTATATAACCACAACAACCATTATCACGAAATTTACCATAATATAATGCTATCATATCATCATCAGTTTGATAATTCAAAGCAACCATTTGTACACCAAAATTCCAAGGATTTATCGGATCTAGATTACTTGAATCTTGTCTTAAACCATCAGGATATACACGAAGAATACGCCATGTTGTTTGTAGAATTAAATCGAGTGGATCTCTTTGTACATGTTTCAAAAACGTTTTTTCAGCCAAAGATGATGAATGAAATGGTGTATCTGTTTGAAATATAAATTTCAAGTTTTACAAAGGAAGTAACAAAAACAATTCAATAGCTTACAATTTGCTTTAGCGTCATCATTTTCTTGATAAGGAACATTCATAAAATATACAAATAGTTCAGATAATTCTGGTTCAACATCCTACAATATTAGGCAGTATATTAGTATTGATTATTGTTTTTATTAGTCACTCTCTGATTTTCTATATGTTCATGACTAGAATCTATAGAGAATTGAAATTTATGTCTATCAGATTCTAATAATGATTTGTGTGTGATCTTTTCTATTACATAAAACACATACATGCTATGAATCTCAAAAATTATATAATCAAAGTATTGAAAATTGTCGTTTATTTTTGAATTTTTCTTAGATCTGTTCGAAAGTTCTTTTCCTTTTATAGTCTGGAGAAGATGAAAATGTTTCAAATAGGAGACGGTGATTGAATCTGTCGAGTTGATTCCAGGTCTCGGTCCAAAAACTTTGTTTTCAAATTATAGAAAATTATTGTTTCATGTTTTTCGAAAGACAAAATAAAGTTACAATTAAAAAGAAGAATTCAGAGATGGCTAAAACATTTACTAAAATTATTGGAAAAATCTTGCGTAATATTTTTTTGTACCTAAAAACTACTATTTTTCAATTAAATGTAGTCAAGTTAAACCCATGTTCAAATTATAAAATAATGCACTTAGTTGAAGGCTTTTTAGGATTTCGAGACAGACTATTGATTGTATAAAACTAATAACTTAAAGGAGAAGTCAATTGTAGTCATTAATTTCAAAAAGGTAATACGATTTATAAAATATAGAAAGGCTTTAATCAATCAAATATACTATTTGGTAGTCCGAACATTTTTGAACTAGATCATATTTTATTTACAACCATATTCATTATATGACAGAGATTACAAAAAATTTTTCAATGAATCGAAGAATTTATTAAAAATTAAAACAAGTTGATATTCATATTGTTCAAAACAATAAAAAAAAAAGACTTTCGAATAGGAAAAACGACTATTTTTAATATCTTGATTATGTAATTTTCTAGGTGCATAATTTATATGTTTCGTGTAAAAAAAAAGTATCAGACAAAAATCATTAGTAGAATAAGAGAAATATGAATTTCAATTAAGTTAAAATACTTTTCGATCACTTGTTATCAGAAAGAATTGTTAGAAATATTTGATTTGAAGACTTTTAAATGAAAATTCATGTGTAAATAATGGCATACCTTTCTTAATGAATTCTGTGAAGAATATTCATCAGCTTCTTCTTGGAACATTACATTTGATATTGTTGATATTGACGTTGATTTACCCTAATAAAAACACAAATAGAAAATTAAATATCCTTATATAAATAATATTATACTTACACGAATGAGAACTTTATGTTTTAAATCTTTTGGTGATGGCAAAACTGATGAATCTTTATCGGGTAAATATTTTGTAACCAAATGATCTATACTGATATGAAAGTTATATGTATCAGAATTATTTTCTTACCACCAAGATAATTTTTCAAAATTTGAGCCATTTGTTTTTGTTGTGCAGGTGAACAATGATTTTCAATATTTAATATAACTGGATAACTAATTAATAAATAAATAAATAATCTGATTTGCAAAAGTCGTTGGAAGAAAATATTTATTCGGCTTTCGACAGTTCAAACTTAACTATTGATAATCAACAATAGTTAATTAGAATTTTGTATTCTTTCGAAATATGTACTCAAAATATTTCTCTAACTTAAGGTTAGTTAGCAGCATATAAATACTTAACGCTAATCAAATATTAAGTACGCGTAAAGAATTTAAGAGTCATATTTGTAGGCCGAAACAACTACAACATGAATTTCGAAAATCGAATTTTTTGACGAAATGCTATTTTATATTGGAAGTAGTTCTCCGAAAAAACATTTATAATTCTTCATTCATTTTACTTCTAGCCTATTGTGATATGTAATTTTCTAGGCAATTTAATGTTTGACATAATTATCAAATTAAATTTGTTCGAAAATATTATATAGATAAATGATGAATAACATATATACTTTATCCAAAGGGAATTTTTAAGTCACTGTTAAATATTTGCTTAAAGTTAATTATTCTTAAGTTAGAAGGAAATTCTAAGTAACTACTTTTGATTTTCATTAGTTATATTTTAGTTTTCTAAAGATGAACAAAGATTGTGTACTTTGAAGTTTTTTTTAAACAGTGTCAAATATTTGTACTCGAGTCCTATGAGACAAAATTTTTCGTGTTCTGAATTTTTTTTTTGCTAATTGTTCCATTGTCAAAAAGAAAAGAGGCGACTGATTTCCGATTTATTGCTTTTTACTAGTTTAGTTGCCATGAAAAATTCATCTTCTTCTTTTCGACGGACTAGTCACGACTCATATCAACAAGTATTTTAGATGCTATATACATTAATTAGTTCAGATTCATTAACTTTTTACTCTGTCAGTTGAGCAAAGATAAATGGACATGACTGGAATTCATGATGATTCGCTCTAACGAAGTCTAAGATTTTGAAATAGCATATTTCGTATAGGATAATCATCTGACATTTTTCAGACTCTTGGAGTCAATCACCTTTTCGACTTGGGTTTTACTCGCATGGCAATCTAATTCTTTGTCTATTCTTTTTTCTATTATTTATTTAAATATTAAGAGAGTTTTTAAAAATAAAAATTCTAAAATGTACGATACTTTGGAACATTTTTTTTTCTATATTGTCTTGTCTCGAAAAAGTTTTGAAACAATTCCGATTATCTCACAGGTTTCTAATTTCTATACCCGTAATCAACTTCAAATCGGAGAAATATTTTGAGTATGTATTTCAAAAGAACTTAACGTTATACTTCAAAATAGTTACTATTGACTCTCAGTAGTTGTTTGAACGGTTGAAAATCGAATAAATATTTTTATGTAAAGACATTTGCGTAGTAGATTAAATAAAATTATAAAAATTCTAAATAATTACGGAGAAGCTTTAAAAAGATTTGGTTGTATACGACGAATAATTGATTCAAATGAACATGGTTTTACAAATGTAAAAGCATGTTTAACTATTGGTTTACCATCATCACCATCGTAACAATCAAATTCAACTGCTCTACAACCCATCAATAACACTCTATTATAAGCTTCTGGATTACTTTCACCAGACACTTGACTGTAGAATAAATAACTACAAATATAAAAATTTCATTCAATAATAAAAACAAAAAAAAAAAAACTAATCGTTTTTTATTCATACGTATTGTGAGAAGTATTGATATAATAATCACATAATGGTCTGAAAAAAAATAAAATAAAAAGTTTTAATATTATGATATTCTTCTCATGTGTCTATACCTTGTCATATCTTGATATATTTGACGAGAATACGATGATTCCGTAATATCAAAATTTCTTGATAATAACATATTTCGAAAACCTTGATAGAAATTTAATTTTTGTTTTGTTCTTAATTACTCATAGAAAAAAAAAATTGAATAGAAATATACCATCAAGACCTAAAAAACCTCTTTCTCGAAATTCAGTATTCAATTCATATTCATCAATTAATTTTTGTGCTTGAGTTAGACTGTTGATATGTTGCATCTATTGAAAAGATGAATTAATTATTGAAAAAAATAAAATAATAAACTTAAGTTACATTTGGATTTTTCATTAGTCGAAGAAAATATAATAATTCATTTTTATCCATATAAATATTTTCCATTGTTTGTTGATATGCATATTTTACAAATCTATCGAAATGAAAAAACAATGAAATTAAATAATATTTTTTTTAAAAATTACTTTTGCATTAGTTCATAAAGATCTCCACGACGTGTTAATATTTTAAAAAACTGCACAAATTCTTCAGGATTCAAAGTATCATATTTACTTTTATGTATTTTCTAGAAAATAAAAAAAAAAAAATGCTATTTAAATCAAATAAAAAGAATAAATTTTACATAAAACATTTGTTCAAATATATGATCAGGCATATCAATATTTAAAGATTTTGCAAGTAAATTACGACATTCTTTTTTTGATAATGTATTTGATTTATTTTTATCAGCAACATGAAAAAATTCCAAAATCCAACTATAATAAAGAAAACATTATAACAAAAATTTTCTTGTAAAAAAAAAAGAAAATATGTTTTCTTGTTTACTTGTCTTCTCCAATTAAATGATATTGACGTTGTTGTCCACGTTTATTCATCAAATGTTGTAAACCTTTTACCCATAAATCTCGTGTTTCCATATCAGGTGCAATAAAATGTAATCCTTTTCGGTGATTATTATATATGATTGAAAAGGCACGATCGTGCTAATATAAATTAAATTTATTTTATAAAAACAAAAACTAATAATCAAACATGAAATTTTTATACATCATCTGATTTGACTTTACGATCTTTAACAAGTTGATCAAATGTTTGTGCTTCAAATCCTATTCTAATTTCATCAATATCGTGTACATGATCTAAATAAAATAGATATATCAAATATTTGTATCATGAAATCAGTCAATTTTAAACTTACATGTTCGTGGTTTACCACGAAATTTATTCGATTTGTCATACGTTATATAACCTTCACGTTCATGAAGAAAAAATTGACGACGATACTTTTTCCCACTACGCTTATATTTTACTAAATCTGCGCCTGATTTAAGTTGCTGTATTAATTCAGCCATAGTATCATCGGTGTTAGCCATTAATTCTATTTATTTCGTTATCTATCAGAAAAAAGATAATAAAATGAAAAAGACGAAATGACATAAAAAAGTTGATTACCGTCAATATAAGGCTATTAACCTACTCAGTTTTCTCAATATTACCTTTTCTCGTTTATACGATCATCGCCTACTAACATACAACATTTTTAAAGCTCTCCATTGAACAACATTGACCTTCTTTTCCTTTTGCTTATTCAAAGGTGATTGTTCGTAGTATACGTAGGTAAAAATAGAGATTAAATTGATAAAATGTAAGAAGAAAAACAGTCGTATTTTATTTCTGCTTTGTGTCTCAATAAACGAATGGTGTATAAGGTAATGTTTTTTTTTCTTCAAATCGAAATTCTTATTCTGGTACTGATCAAAACTTAATTAGCTACTAATAGACATGTACGAGCTTTTTTCGTTATCTGGACTCCAATTATTCTAATTTTTATTTGTATGGTAAAAAAAATAACTCAGCTGAACCCAGAACCTAGGTTCAGTTTGTAAAGTTCTCATAAAAATCTAAAGAATTAGTACAGAAAGCTCTGACACATCTCTTTTGATAGGTTAGGTTGCATAAGTCAGCCATTTTTTTCATAACTCAAGCTATTGATATAAAGTGCTCGAAAATAATGCAAAAACACTCGGCACATGCGTATCTACTAGAGTATGTTTACCAAGTATAAAACGTTTTTGTTTCTTTTCTGTTTTTTTTTTGAGTCACTTCAATATTTGCCGTTGGCGATACATAACTAATCTCGATTTATAAAACTGCTTGACTGTTCTTTGACAAAATGTGGGACCATCAAAAACGATTCTATATTATTCTTATTAGATTCAGGATATATAAGAATATTTCAATTTGTTTTCTTAGATATACCATGTTCATATTTATTAACATGTCATCGCTTATATACATAGTATCTCAATACACATCTATGCAAGAAGAAAAAAAATACGAAAGATTTTCTTATTTAAATATTTTGAATTTTGTAATGTAGATGTGTAAAGACTATTTAAAAACAAATGATGACATTTGATGCTTGAAAAAAGCAAGAGACACCTGATACACGTCATTTACTTACGATTTGTAAAAAAGAAAAAGAAAAAAACTTTATACGAAACTAATAAAACGGCAGAAAAAGAAATTATTGCACGTAGGTGCTTCAGTCACACAACAAAAAGACAGAGCGACTTACTGTTTGCCTGAGATATAGTTACTAATAATGAATATGATGCTATTGAAAAGAAAATAACGTCTTTTTCCACAAGGTTTACAATAGATATTCTAGATTAAGCAATAAAGAGAAAAAAATAGCACTCTCAGTGTGTGATCACTCATACAAAACGGAGCATATCGATTTTTCATTTGATTTTGATTCTTTACGAAAGTTATTTTTTGGAATAATTTCTTTTAGCGTTGACATATATAAAAATATTGATTCCTTCAGCTATCTATTATAGAGACTTCTCCCTTCCTTTTCGAGATTCTTCGAGAAGGACTCTGCGAAAAATTATGAAGCTTTCAAAGCATATAGGTTTCGATGGGTGTGGGTGTGAGGGTGGGCGTGGGTGTGGATGTGAGTGGGTGGTGTGGGTGTGGGTGTCAGTGCCAGTGTCAATGTCGGTGTAGGGGAAAAACAAAACACCCACCCACACCCACACCCCTAACTATCATATATGATAGAAAAACGAATCTAATCGAAATTTTATTATTATGATATTAGGTCAAATACGATCTTGAAGCATAGAAAGAAGAGCATTCTTTTCTCTATTAGACTATATAGAGAGAAAGTTTTTTAAAGGTTACTATTCAATATTAAAATGCCGTGGCCAGAACTTTTGGT